TGGTATTTAATAGAAGCATAATATGAGAAAAGTAACTCGAAGGAATTTCCATTATTTTTTATTCGCTAGAGGGCGCGCAATTTGTGTAGTTCAATTAAATATATGCTTTTAAGTAAAATAATCATACATCAACATAGTTTTAACCTTTTCTTCCAAAGTCTTAACCCCAATTTACATTTACAGAGTAGATAAACTAGGAATGAAAATGTGCATAAGAGAATATTAATACGTTCACGATTTTATGCCCTCATGCAGAAGTTTCGCAGAAGTTTTAAAGCACATCATTAAAGAATCCCTTTGTCATTTAAAAGTGAAAACGAAAAAATATATATATATATATAATGCGTTTTAATAATCATAAATTATACGTTAAAAGATTTAATATCTGAAATATTTGTTGTTTAGATTTGTTTATTAACATGTGCACCTCAAATTATACGTTTTTATTAAACCATATAAAATATACACCGAAAGCGTGATAGCCCTGGGGTCAAATTCTAAGAGGTATGATCGCGAGTCGACCATTATTCTACTACTTTTATAAACTGAACAGCAACCTTGCATGTAGATACAAAGGTTCTCTATGCAATAAGTTTAGTAAAATATACAGACAATATTATAATTTCATGGCGATTCTTGATACGACGAGATATTTGATACGAAGGATTATTATACGAGTAATATCTTTTCGTACAACTTATATTATATATTACAAAAAAGTTATACTAAAGATGTAGCCAAAGATGAAATACATAATATATACAAAAAGGCAGGATCAATATTAATAATTTTGTCAACTACACTATTTTAGAACTCCAGGTTTGTCACAGTTTAAGATAAAATATATGATTTACAAATATGTAAATATAAATATGTTTAAATATAATAGTATCTGAATTATGAGACTTTTATTGTTATTATTATATGATATACATAGTCTATAAATTGGTGACCTAAGTACTAGTTCAATGTGGACTACACACAACTCCCAAGTCGTGCGCTCCAAGTAGCATGCAGTAACAGCCAGCATCTAAGTATCGTCGTGAGGAAATTCGCATGTCAAATACCCAAAAATTACGTGAGTCAGGCCCAAGGTTTACAACTTACAACAACATATTAATAGATTGTCAATAGATTTAGTAATCTATATATCATATATATTAGTAAGATATTTGCTATTCTTGCCGTAAATAGGAAGGACCAAGCAAAACAAATTAGCTGCGGTCGCGTCGCTCGCGGCAACACAAAGACGACTCGTTAATAAATCTCACACTATTCCAAGTGTTAAAAAAATTTAAATCAACGAATTATGTTAATTACTAAAATAAAAAAGATAGTATAAAATCAAGTTCTTACTATAGTAATAAGTTAGTTATATTTTACAGAGAATAACTATACAAACGTAAGTCTATTATTAGTTTAAATATAACGGATGTGCGCATATTGTTATGATCAGAGAAATGCTTAAATAGCGCACAGCATTAGATTTTCATATAGCAATCTCTTGTTATCGAAGGAATCCCTATGAAAATGAGCTAAGCCGAAAATCAATTTGCACTTCATAGCTTATACCTAGAAACTTATTAATACGTAGACGCTTTTGAAATAATTTCCTAAGTTTATACTTATACTAGTAATTATTCGACTACATAACTAACTGCGTTCACATTTTATACTACCTAAAAAATAATGATTGCTTTCTGGTACCGTGGTATGTTTATGTTCGAGTCCAAGCTTTAGTTCCAGTCACAACCAAAAAATGTAAAGACAAAAACATGAGGATGGCGGGCTTGGTTTGATTGTGAATAATCAACAAAATATCCAACAACAAATACGCAATAATAAAGATATCATCTGGTCTCACGTATTTCAGTACAAAGTACAAAGTACTTGTAATAAAATCCGGGAAAAAAGTAAGTAATTTGTTTCTTCTTTAATATAAGATGACGTTAGAGTTGATCCATATGATATTTACATGTTACAACAACGTCTTTATAAATGGCGTATGAAGAAAATAAATTACTAAAGAGTAATATTTGTAATACATAGCTGGAGGCTGATAACTTTTGCTGATCTCAAGCCCCACGGCTGTCTTCATCCTCATGTCTTTATCTAATTAGGATAAAGTTACGTGATTTTGAAGAAAAATCATGTCGTGTTTCAGTCATAATTAACCATCATTCACATGTTAAACTGAAACAGACATTACAAATTCGATAATTACAGCATTATGTACTTTTTAAACTGCGCTTATTTTTTGGCTAAGATGTGCGCGCCGCCAACTCCTTTTTAAATTATTATTTACAAATATATGTTTACGAATATTACTCTCATTTAAATAAAATGTAACAGTATTTTTATTGTGTAATACCGGAAATAGACGACAAAATTTGGAATTTTTTGTATTGATTGTTGTTCCAACTTTTACCCGTGTGCGGGTGGAAACATGAAGTTTAAGGAATCATATCAGTGTGAACCTCCGAAAAATAACTGATGTTCGCGATTTTTTTTTCATGGTTAGGATATGCTGATCGGTCTGATTTTTTTTTGTTACAAATAAAGGCACTAATGTAAAATATAAAATTGTACATTTATAAAAAAATGTTGATTTATTAATTATTTCCTATTGTTATAAATTATTACAAATTTCGTTGAACAATAAAGGTCCTTGATGGTGTCTTGTGATGGGTGCCTGTGGCAGCGTCCATGCGTCGGGTTCACTCTATCTAAAATATGGCGAGGGGGCCGATGGCTGGCCATGCGTCATACTCGTGAACGGGGGCTACTTGTGTGACTGGTCGGACTTGAATTGGTGTATCCGGTGTTGTTAGTAATTTAGACTATGTATTTGCGTGTTGTTCCCACGAATGTAAGAGCGTGCTCTTATTTCACCATGCCTACTGCTGATAAAGGACAAATCTTTGTTTTTAAATTTATTATTAATTAACTAATAATTACTGAATATATCATGTATCCTTACAAACATTGTGTAAAACAAAAAAACTTGGCGATAAAAAAAAGTGGCGGAGAGCTTATTGCCAGTTATCTTCTCTTCCGTTCTACGCTCTTGATTTGAGAACTGGCAGTAAATGGACAATGAGAAGCATTTAATGTGTATATATTTCTTTTTGACGTTCATATGTGTACATTGTGTCGCCTAAATGAATAAATGATTTTGATTTTTCGACCACTGCGGCCGTAATTTCATCTGATACAAAAAATCTAAAAGTTTATCAATTTGTAAGAAAGCCGCTATAAGCCTACTAGACACATCACACAATGAAGGTGGTTTAAACTAAAATTATCGAATTTAGGTTTTTTTTTCAACCATTTTTCGTGAAAAAATGGGAAGATTTAAAAAAATAGGTTTTCAATATTAATAGACAATTAATAGTTGTTAATATTTGAAATCGAAAGCTTGAAAATTATTCCTTAGAGATTGTACACCTGTAAGGAAATTTTTAGATCAATCGTTTACTTACGATCAATCTGCGATGCCAGGTCCATCAAGCTTCCTCGTATTAATAATTTGCTGCAAAGTTCGCTGCCTAAACCCCGCAGGTCGGTACACGAGCATGTAGGAACCAGACAAAAGGAACATCTGAGCGGGGAGACCGACCCGGCACATGTTACGCTCTGAATAAATGCTGTAGCGACCGAAATAATTAGAATTTCGCTTTGGAAATGTGAGAGAATGTTTACAAGAGTATAAACTATCCGATGATATGGATGGGAAGCGGTTTTGTTTTGAAGTATTAACTGCAGATTGTAATTTAAACCATTATAAAATGACTTTGTGAAACAAATCATTTATACTTTTAAAAGTGCTTCAGATGGCAATATTGTGAGCCTAATTTAGCATAGAAATTGCACATGCACAATATCCGCCATAGCTTTTAGTAAATCCTCTTTATCGGGATTATCACCGCATTCTCGTGAACTAGGAATAGATGAGATTTCTATGTACAATTATTATACAATGCGACATTTTGGCTTTATACAAAGAAAAGTGGACATATCTCTTGTGATTATTAGTATAGTGGTCACCAGTATTATTAGCAGGTGTTACTTTTACCTAGACTTTAAAGCTGTATATACGACATCTTTTACTCTGTGAATGATTGATATAAATATATTTAATAAATTATGCTATACAATACGATGGTCAAACATTTTATGACGAAGTTTTGTTTTCATAATACATGTTAAATGATAAACAGCTATCTATGTATACTAATATTATAAAGAGGAAAGATTTGTATTAAGTATGTTTGTAACGAATTGGCTCAAACAGTACTGGACAGATTTTAAAAAGTCTTTTACCATTTGAATGCTACATTATCACTGATTAATATAGGCTCTTGTAATTGGAATAAAATATAGGGATCCCTTCTTAAACTACAATAATGTTACCCAAGGTTTAAAAAAATGCCTATAAAATATCTTTCATCGCATGTGTTCACGCCATCCAGTTACCTTTAGTCCTCTCTGGTCACAGGTTAAAACGCTTATAAACAAGTAACTGGATGGCGTGAACAGCATGCGCTGCGAAAACTATTGATGATAGAACAAAAAAATGTTTCACAATATTAAAGAGCATATCAATATCTCCAAAAAAGGCGTTATATATTAACGATAGCTTGTGATACTAAAAAATAACAATACAAAATAATATAATTAATTAATATTATCTGTATAACCCACTAACAGCTCGACTCTCGTCGGCCCCTGCAAGCCATTTCGCCATCTGTACCTCGCTATCCTAAACAATTCTATGCCGAATGCAAGCCGACTGTTCCACAATAGATTACTTAACCATTACAGTAAAGTTCAAAGGTTTCAAGTTAATGAAGAGATGTAGTAACGAAATGCATATGGGAAATATCAGTGAAATTTAATAGTTTTTAATTTCTTTATTATATTTTAGTAAATGTCATATAAATGCCATTTTCAGCAGTCGTAAACGTAGCTCGTTTGTCCAAATTTATTTTCTCTGAAGGTTAAAGGTACACTTCATATTCTGATAAGATCATAGATATTACCACCTTCACGAACAACCTTCCAGCTTTAATTCCTATAAATTAAACATGCATAAAAACTTTTTATTAATTCAAAATTGTAACTGTAAATAAGATGTATAATTAAACAAGCATTTTCTAAAAAATATTAATCCTTTGTATATAGTTTTGTATATTGTTTAAACACAAAATTGAATTATGCAGATTTGTAAAGAATTTTTCACGCATTTTATCGAACCGCAAGCATCGCAACGCATTTAAATATTTACAGTTCAGGAGGCAGCAGTCGTACAAAAAATTTGTACTATGCTTATAGTGGTTATCGTTGGAAATAATTCAGGTCCCTTTTTTATACCAGTACCCTTAAATGGGTCTTGGCCTCAGTTTGCATTCATTTTTAGACCCTTTAATTTCAGTTCCAATATACTTATATATTTATATTATTTCATTAAGTGCATACAAATTATATTTATACTGGGTTTTTTGAAGTGAAAACTTCTTTAGCGGCGTTGTACACTTTTTAGGAATGGGTAAAATATGTTAAACTCGCGTCAGGATAAATTCGTAAGACGGATGTTTTTTTTAAAGGATTATGAACCTTCGTACAATATAGTTACGGTTTTAATTCATTTGTCTCTTTCCTCAGATGCATTGATGCATGTGGAATTAGACCTTAAGTTAATACATCAAGGTTTAATTTTCTGAAACGTCTAAAGCTTTATTATTAACGATTTGGTCAGACTGACGCGAATAAAAAATGGCAACTTAAAAAATAGTGAAATTATCTAATTGAATTATTTAATACTAATTTTAATTATTTTGTGTAGGTTTCGTAAGACGGATGGAGAGTAGACAGCTGTCCCGGCGTATTTAACCCAGCAATGCCTAGCGTGTCCATATGTAGAAAATGTAAGCGATGACTGAAGTCAGACTAACTGTTTTCTTATTTTGGCAATACCATGTAACTACTATCAAAGTATCAAATGACATTTATTTTTAGCGCGAGTGAGTATTGTGTGTAAAATAAGGTTCTAGTTGTAGTTTGATTTTGATCTTTGGAAAAAACATGGATGGCAGTGGAAAGTAAGTAATTTTTCTTATAAATTATTTTAAACGCTAACTGCTTTTTGCATAGGATTCTGGTCAATAGTGTTATCTGACGTTTGATATGATAACCTAAGTGAAAACATTGTTTCGATCGAGTTTTACAACAAATTTGTTCGCGTGTCCATATGGACACGCTAAGCACTTGAATGAGCTGACATTACTTTGCTTCTGCTTGTTATCAGGTACATGGATTATGGAATATTCAAAAACCAAAGAATACTGAGTGATATTTTGAATACCTCTTCACAAGTCAGAAGTTTGTTTATCTTCGATAAGGCTATGGCTCCATACGTGAGAAACACATACCTACTCGACAGGTTTCGTACGTGAAAATCGTTTGCGAAAATGCCCGAAGCTCACCAGAAACAAGCAAATAAAAAAGAGAAAAGAGGGTATTATGAGTCAGCGATAAGAAAAGAAGATGGCGTATAGTGTTTATTGCTTCTAGTAATCTGGGGGGTACCCATAAGTACTGTGAAGCGTTATTCACAGAAAGAAAAACGAATGTACAGATCCCACGTCCTCATCTTTTTGGTAAATATAATCGGTTCATGGGAGGCGTCGATCGTATGGACAAGAATATAAATATGAATCGAATGCACATTAGAAGTAATAAATGGTATTGGGCCCTATTCAGCTGGAGGCTGGGTACTTGTATTCACAACGCTTGGCAACTACAATGGAAAGCAGGCGCTAAAGTGGCACAGCTTGATTTCAGAAGGGAGATTGTGTTACATTATTTGAGAAAATATAACTCTATACCCAAAGGGCTAGGGAGATCTAGTACTTCTAGTGAATAGCGAACACTTCGCGCTTTGACAAAATGGAACATTTTGGTACTAAAATAGAAAAAAAAAAGAGAAGATGTGTGGGTCCGTACTGCAAGACGAAATCTTCTGCAGTTCGAACAGCTTGCTGCAAATGAACTGTTGGCCTTTGCGTCGACTGCATTAGGGATTACCACAAAAACAACCAAGTCCTTTCTTGTTTTTTTCTTTTTCTGTTTGTTATTTAAATTAGTGAAGATTTAATTTAATTTGTACACCTTAACGCTTAGCGTGTCCATATGGACACGTTTAATTTTTCGCAAAATAAACAATTTTTTTTTAAAACAACTTGTTTTTCTCTTTATTATTGTTATTTTAAGTGAGATGATTGAAACAAATACAAAAATATTAATTTAAAAAGAAACTGGGCATTGCTGGGTTAATGTAATGTAAATTTTCATGTTTGTGTACGACAGCGCAATAAATAAATATTGTATTCTACCACATGAATGATAGTACTTTTATACTGATAATTAAAGCAATTCGTGCAAAATTATTCCCTAACCATTGCAAAATATCAAAAATGCACAACGTTAATATTCAAGTTTTCACTTCTGCCGGCACTCCCAGAGTGCAACCCGTCGTTTTTTTTTTTTTTCGCGCAGGAGGCTCTGACTGATACCGCCGTCGCCCAGCGAGCAGCTGGTTCCACATCGTGGACGATTGGACGTTGTACATTGTATTTATATAATATCTTATATTTAATTTAAATTATTTTTATTCCCAAAATCATTTTAAAAATCATTATTCATACCAACACATATTCTGGCTCCAGTGCCAAAAGGAAGATAGTTCCCGTGTATTTTTTTCTCTTTACTGAAGCGGTCTGGATCAAATACATCGGGATTCTCAAAAAATTCTGAGTCACGATGCAAACCATATAAAGAAATATAAATTGGAGTTCCCTTCTCGATAGTCAGGTCTGTGTTTGGTATCTATACACAATAAACAGTTAATATTAACTATAAAAATATTCAACATATTGTTTTTAATACATGAAGAAACCAGTCTGTTTTAGACACAAAATTCGACGATATCAGGTAAAGAAGGCTTATCACTCTATGAAGAAAAAATATCAAGGGAACAGGTACAGAATTCAGAATTTCTTATTGATTTATTGTTGCTCACATAAAAACACAAGAAGACATACTACTTAAAAGACTTTTCAACGTACCTTATAATCGTCTAGGGTGTAGCGATCAAGTATAGGACCCGATGGATGCATCGTGACGCCTTCTGATATTACCTGTTCCATGTATTTCATCTCATCGAAACCTTCAAACGTCCATCCATACTTTGCGACCGCTTCCTTGATACAATCACGCGCACGATCTTGACATTCCTTACTCTTAGCCAACTCCATAAGAGTGAATGCACAGGCTTGTGAACTAGTTTGAAAACCAGAGAAAAAATGTAGAAGACTGAGCAAATAGATTATCTCCTTCAAATTCTGAAAGATACATTGATATACAATATTACTTACTGAACACTTGCAGTGGAAGTAGAAAATTTTTGATTAGGGAGTTCGCATTTTTTTATATTACTTATAGCTTTTTATTCTCTTTACATAGAGTATTTTAAAATATTACAAATGCAATGAAGGTGAGATTTGATATGATTTTACGATAGTTAATGCCTGCATTGCATTGCATTTTTAATGTTACCAATCTCTTTTGAGTTATTATTTTATTTACATCACGTTAAAAAATAACAAATTCGTGGGCGACCAAAAAAATAAAATGCTTACTATAAACTGGATCCTGGGTACTGTTTTTTAATTATATTAGTGTATCAATAAAGTCTCCTCTCTTGTTACTACTCTTTTCTCTTGATTCAAAAAATTTCCAAAATATGTTCTGTACAAATGTTGCGTCATACAATACACGAGGGCCGACAACGGTGACCAGTTCAGGTACAAAGAATACGGTAAACACAGCGATCATCCGCTTGAACGAGTGAAAGAAGTCCATAACTAAAAATACCATTCAATTTAGCACATAATTAAAAATTCTGCTTCAAAATTTGCACTACATGAGACTATCTGTCATACTGTGATAGGTAACTTACAGTATTTTGTGTAATCCGATTCAGGGCAGTTAAAAGAATCTGCTTTAAAACCCAACGCAACATTGGCAATGAGATCTGCCGTGTATCTATAATTGATATCCTGTGCATCAATTTTTTTTTTCTTTATCGTTAATATTCTTATTAAAAAACTCCATCATCGGTTTTCCGGTATCAATCATCAGTGTAAGCATTTGCTTCAAATTCTTTCTAGTAAACGTGGGAGATATCTTTCTATTTATTTATTTTATTCTATATTCTATTTATTTTATTTTTATAAGAGTGAATGCACAGACGTGAGAACTGGTTTGAAAACCAGAGAAAAATGTAGAAGACTGGGCAAATAGATTATCTCCTTCAAATTCTGAAAGATACATTGATATACAATATTACTTACTGAACACTTGCAGTGGAAGTAGAAAATTTTTGATTAGGGAGTTCGCATTTTTTTATATTACTTATAGCTTTTTATTCTCTTTACATAGAGTATTTTAAAATATTACAAATGCAATGAAGGTGAGATTTGATATGATTTTACGATAGTTTAATGCCTGCATTGCATTGAATATTTAATATTAGCAATCTCTTTTGACATAGTATTGTCTTTGATTAACATTACCTTTACACATTTAAAGAAAAAACTTTTTAACCGGATTGAAGTTATGTATTATTATAAATTTACAATTATTTAACATAATTTTAAATTTATCCGACGTTTCGCGTGCTTTACAGCGTGCGTGGTCACGGTGACCACGTACGAAATGAAAATGAAATGAAATAATTGTAAATTTATAATAATGCATAACTTTAATCCGGTTAAAAAGTTTTTTCTTTAAATCTCTGAGTTACTATTTTATTTACATCACGTTAAAAAAATAACACATTCGTGGGCGACCAAAAAATAAAATGCTTACTATAAACTGGATCCTGGGTACTGTTTTTTAATTCTATTAGTGTATCAATAAAGTCGCCTCTCTTGTTACCACTCTTTTCTCTTGATTCAAAAAATTTCCAAAATATGTTCTGTACAAATGTTGCGTCATACAATACACGAGGGCCGACAACGGTGACCAGTTCAGGTACAAAGAATACGGTAAACACAGCGATCATCCGCTTGAACGAGTGAAAGAAGTCCATAACTAAAAATACCATTCAATTTAGCACATAATTAAAAATTCTGCTTCAAAATTTGCACTACATGAGACTATCTGTCATACTGTGATAGGTAACTTACAGTATTTTGTGTAATCCGATTCAGGGCAGTTAAAAGAATCTGCTTTAAAACCCAACGCAACATTGGCAATGAGATCTGCCGTGTATCTATAATTGACGTCCTGTGCATCAATTATTTTTTTTTCTTTATCGTTAATATTCTTATTAAGAAACTCCATCATCGGTTTACCAGCGTCAATCATCAGTGTAAGCATTTTCTTCAAATTCTTTCTAGTAAACGTGGGAGATATCTTTCTCCTCAAGTATCGCCACCCGGGATTTACTATCCCAAACAAATTTCTCATTCCAGAGCTGTCTCTTTGCTGTGATCCCGCGAAGTGTCGGTTAGAGAAATTGTGAAAGTCCTTAACAAGTATCTGCTTTATTATTTCTGGGTCTCTTAAGAGAAGGCAGGGCTTATGGAAGATGTAAAAACCAACATATGGTACATCTTTAGGCATTCGTTGGTAAAGTTCACCAAAGTGGTATCCTGGAGGGGATCGGAATAAAATTCCCCTTTTGAAATCCCCAAATATTTTATCGGTGTCGGTTAACTGTGGTACACCTTTTCGTCTCCAATAATTTAATCGGTTATAGCAATAGATATAAACCAGAATTATTATAAGAAAAAGTAACATGGAGGCAAGAAAAAAACTCAAGAAATCCATAGTGTTTTTATAATTATGCACGGTATACAATCTAGAAAAAATGAACATTGGGGGTAATTTTTTAGTATAAATTGGAAATAAATAAGCATTTTACCTATTTTGGGTTTTAAAAAGAGTTGTGAAAAACACCGTTGTTTTGCAAAAAAGTAAAGTATCGCTATCAATTTAATGCACTAAATATTTCCATAATAATTAATATTAAACGTTTATTCTTGTGCTAAATTATACTATGAAGACACTTGATTCAATAATGCTAATTAACATACGAAACTCTTATAACCAACATATAATAATATAAATTAGTATTATTATTATTTCATTGATCTTATTATATGCAACATTAAAACTTTGGTGTAATTTACATTATATTTATTTAAAGTATCGGTGGGAATAATATTAGGTCCTTACATATGAAATTGGCGTAGTTCGTACTGGCCACTTTAATCACGATGTTCTCCTCTTTGGTAAGGAATTCCAAATCAAATTTGTACAGCTATTTACTCATGTATTTGTGCTTCGATGACCGTCATTCATTTGTTTTTTTCTTCAGTTTTTTCTGTTTGCGTCACTCATTTTACAAAATGGAAAACTTAAAGTATCGCATTATTTGCGAGTACGAGTTCCGCCGTGGCACTAGTGCTGCGGAAACGACTCGAAAGGTGAATGATGTGTATGGCGGTCAAGTTGCAAAAGAAAACACAGTTCGTTTTTGGTTCCAACGTTTTCGTTCTGGAAATTTCGACCTGCAGAACAAGCCCCGTGGACGGCCTGAGACCCAAGTTGATAATGAAGTATTGAAGGCTATTGTGGAAGCGGATCCATCGCAAACCACGTCCGAGTTAGCTGCAGGCTGCGGTGTTAGTGACAAAACTGTTTTGATTCACTTGAAGCAAATTGGGAAGATTAAAAAGCTTGAAAGATGGGTACCTCACGAATTGACTGAAGCAAACCGGCAAACGCGCGTCGACTGCTGCGTTACATTACTGAACCGGCACAATAATGAAGGTATTTTAAACCGAATCATTACCTGTGATGAAAAATGGATTCTTTACGATAATCGGAAGCGCTCAGTTGGATCCTGGCCAGCCAGCCAAATCCTGCCCCAAGCGAAAATTAACCCCAAAAAAGTTACTTGTAAGTGTTTGGTGGCCTAGTGCCGGTATTGTTCATTGCAGTTTTTCAAATCTGACTAGACTATTACGGCTGATGTCTATTGTCAGCAATTGCAAACCATGATGGAAAAGCTAGCGGCTAAACAACCTAGGCTGGTCAATCGCTCCACGCCACTGCTACTTCACGACAACGCTAGACCACACACTGCACAACAGACGGCTACCAAATTAGAAGAGCTTCAATTGGAATGTCTAAGACATCCTTCGTACTCCCCGGACCTTGCTCCAACAGATTACCATTTTTTTCGAAATTTGGACAACTTCTTGCAAGGGAAAAAATTTAACTCTGATGGGGCAGTCCAAATCGCCTTCACAGATTTTATTGATTCCCGTCCGACTGGTTTTTTTAGTAAAGGGATCAATTAACTACCTATGAGATGGCAAAAGTGCATAGAAAACAATGGTTTATACTTTGATTAATTAAATATATTATATTTAAAAATATTCTACTTTTTGGTTCCTCCCATACAAAACGCCGATTTCATATGTAAGGACCTAATATTATCGCGAAAGTACAAGGTTTGTAAAATTAATAAGAAACCTGTTTTTCCATTCCATCAAATTGAGATCATAAACTCAATTAAAACAAAAATATACGACTAGAAAATAGAAAAACGTATTACTTGTATTGATTGATAAAATAATATATACAAAATTGTAATATTGTTTTATTTATATAAAATGTGTATGAATATTTAAGGTTTTTTTTTAAAGTTGGTGCCGTGCTCGTTAGACGATCCTGGTGCTTCGAATTGATCATCAAGCCAGGTTTTGTAAATATGTCGATGAACATTGATTTTTAAATGTGAATTTATAGACATAATTCATAAATGAAATTATGATATGTATAGCCGATTAACCAAAAACTAATAAGTTTGAATACCCAACAGACCCAGATTCAACAACATAGTAGTTCGAAATTATTAGTATTACACCAAAACTATTAGTTAAATATTCTATTCATACGAAAAATATGATATCTTACAATGAGGGCCCTGAGATCGATATAGATAGGCAATACATAATATCCTTTATTTTTTTCTCTATATCGCAAGAACGATAAAACTCAGATAATGCACTGTTGTGCACATTATTACAAAATCTAAAGCATATTATTCATTTAGACTCTTTAACTGAGGATTTATTTGTTGGATTTACTAAATTCAAAATCATTTAATCATTAAGGTAGCATAATGTACATGTGCACTAAACTCTCCTCCATTCTATTTTAACTAGGAAGCGTTGATAAATTTTTGAGCTAGTATCAACGGCTTGATATCTCTTGAGATTTTTTCATCTTTTTCACAAAAACTGTGAATCTTCATGATATTTCGGCAACTATGTTGCGGAGAAAATGGAGGGAAAATAAAATGTTGAAATTATAATTTAATGTATAACGTATTGATAAACGTTAAAAAATAAAAAATAAAATATGTTTATTATGGAACATAAGATACATGTATCACTTATTCCACGTCATTAAATTTGAAGGCATCCCTACTCATCGGCAAAGAAGACAGAGGGTGTAGGCCGAGAGAAAAAGCCGGCGTAAAAAACTCTCGGTACTCTTTTAAAACAGCAAATCATCAAACAACACTTATTTAAAACAAATATCGCAAATTGATTAGAAGTAGCCTGTCTAGCACTAGTCCCAGGCCCTTTTATCAACTAGATAATCGTTGACTTTATAGTAAGCCTTTTTACACAGCTTTTCTTTAATACATTTCTTAAATTTATTGAAAGGCAGTGATAAAAGAGCCTCTGGGATTTTATTAAAGAAGAGTATCCCTTTCCCCAAAAAAGAATTACTAACTTTAGATAGTCTAGTACGGGGAAATTGCAGCCTGCGTTTGTTCCGTGTATTAACATTGTGCGTATGTTCTATTCTAGTAAACTTATCACTATTTTTGTATACATACATAATATTTTCATAAATATATTGCGAGGGAAAGGTAAGTATATTAATTTCCTTGAATTTATCTCTAAGAGATTCCTTACATTTTAAATTATAGATTGCACGAATAGCCCTCTTCTGCAGGATGAAAATAGTTTCGACATCAGCAGCATGACCCCATAATAATAAGCCATAAGTCATTAAGCTATGAAAGTAACTAAAATAAACAAGTCTAGCTGTATCGACATCAGTTAGTGAGCGAATTTTTTTAACCGCGTAGGCTGCAGAACTAAGTCTCTTCGCCAATCCGTTAATATGAGGGGACCACTGAAGTTTTGAATCCATGGTGATTCCGAGAAATACAGTTGTATCATCCAGATTCAATTCCTCACTGTTTATAATTGGTCTAGTATCCATAACCCTTGCATTTTATGCACAAAATTTAATGCATTTTGTCTTTTTTGCATTAAGTAGAAGGTTATTCATACTAAACCAATGGACAATCGAAGACAGAGCATTGTTCACATCGTCAAAATTTGTTATTTGTCGTTTGATTTTAAAAATCAAGGACGTGTCATCAGCAAACAAAACTATCTGATGTTTTCTCTCTACCATGAAAGGTAGATCATTTATATAAACAAGAAAGAGGAAAGGGCCAATAATTGAGCCCTGTGGTACCCCATATCTACTGCCGACCCAGAGGACCTCTTACCATTCACTTCAACCTTCTGAGTTCTTCCGTGTAAATAGGAAGTCAGAAGATTCAGTGCGGTATTCTTGATGCCATAGTGGCGGAGTTTCCTGATTAAGGTCTCGTATTGGACATTAATCAAATGCTTTGATAAGTCGCAGAAAACACCTAAAGCGTCATGCGACTCCTCCCAAGCCTTAACTTATATCTATATAACTCAACACCGGCATCGGCTGTCGGGCGACCCTTGGTAAAACCGAACTGATTATTATGTAATAATTTGTTTACGTTAAAATGACTTACCAGTTGATTTAATATAATTTTTTCAAATATTTTACTACAAGTAGGTAGTACGGAAATTGGTCTAAAGTTACTGGGGTCGGACATACTACCTGCTTTAAATAAAGGAATAACTTTACTATGTTTCATTAGATCGGGAAACTCGCCACTTTTAATACAATTGTTGAAAATTATAGCTAGATGGGGAGCAATTACATCAATTATGCTACTAATTATTTTTACAGAAATACCCCAAAGATCGGTAGTGTTCTTAATATCTATGGTTCTAAATATCCTCACTATATCGTCGGCACCAATGGGTCGGAATGAAAAACTGACCTTGCACTCGTTTACATTATCTTTGAGCAGCGATTCGGCGAGGGCGGGAGATGATTGAAGAGACTTAGTAGTCGAAATTGGAATGTCAGAAAAGTACTTATCAAAAACAATCGCTATCTCTTCGTTAGATTATTATAGTGTTATCGACACATAGTTCGATGTCTTGATTGCGATCCCTGACTCTTCCAGTTTCACTATCAATTATCTTCCAAGTCATTTTAGTTTTATTGGTACTATTTTTTAATCTTGTTTTTGATATTTAAAGACTTGGCCGCGTAACAAACTTTCTTAAATAATTTCGAATAATTTCGAACATAAAGAATAAATTTTTCATTATGATTGTATGACTTTTCAGCGTAAAGGTCATACAACCGTTGTCTACTTTTATAAATTCCCGCTGTCGCCCAATCACTAAACGATTTACACTGCGAATGAGAGAATTTCTTTGGGGTAAAGATGGTGTTGAACTCTTTATTAATACAATCACTTAGATTGTTGTATTGTGTATCAACGGTAGTACCTACCGGTAATAAAGGTAGGCGTTTACCTATATTATGTCTAAATCTCACCATTCGCTTTTTATTCACTGGAACAAACACACTGCTCTTATTTACTTGTTTCACCACTTTACATTTTAGCGCCACTAACTGTCCACAATGATCTGAGCTACGATCAGTTGTAATTGAGGTTTGCATTGCCTCTGCATCTGTAAATACATTATCTATACATGTAGCAGTGGAGCTTGTAATTCTAGTGGGCTCAAGAAACAAGTTAACAAGATTGTAAGATTTTAATAACAGATTGATTTTTTTACTAATGGAGGTATTTTCTAATAAATTTATATTGAAGTCACCACATACAATAATATACTTATTGTTCTTAAAACTAACTTTACACAAAATTTCCTCCAACTTTTCTTAAAAAAAATCGTAAGATGCACTTGGTGGTCTGTAAACACTTAAAATAATGCAATTCTCAATCTCTATACAGGCTACTTCCAAAGAGTGTTCTACAGACAGACACACGATGTCATTACGCTCTTTATACTTTAAATTTTTATTAACAATAATCAAAGAGCCCCATGAATCACCGACAATCTGCAAAACGAACTTGCAACTTGGTGCTGATCAAAGTTAAAGATGATTTGGCATTCTCTAAGCCAATGTTCGGTAATGCATAGGACATCAATTTTACTTGATTTTAAAAACAACTCCAACTCTAATTCTTTGCCCAACATACCTTGCATGTTTTGATGCATCAAGTTTAAACAGTTGTTGTTAGTAATATGACATGTTTGTGTTGAGCTGAGTTGTACTAAATTATTGCTAGAGTTTGCCTCTATTGTCACACTATCTAATTTAAATTATTTATACTTCATGAAGTGCTACTGCAAGTATCACTACATTCACTTAAGCTAAGCTGCTCAATAGAAGCAGTTGTCTGAAAAGCTAAATGTTTAGCTTTAGTTGTAAATAAAAAGTAAGATAGCATAGTAGCTATCTGTTGTAAATAATAATTAGGTAGGCGGAACCTATCCTTTGTCAATACATACTTATTTTTAAATATACAATTTATGTCCATTAAATTAAGTAGTGTACCTAAGTCACAATTTAATTGTATATTGTTAGTAGTTAACGTATTGTGCAACAACATGTTTAACTTATATCATAAGGGTATTACTGTATAACTGATAAGGGAACTGCTAATTTTAGGACCTCTGCGAATGTCCTGACCTCCACATTTTCATTTCGTATAATTGGAGCAGAATCTCAAGCTAAGATCTTCATGAAACTTAGAGTAGGATAATAAATAAAGCAATAAAATGAGTGTACGCTATTGCTAATATTAAATTTAATATCATTGCTTTGCTTTGCATTTATTATTATTAGCATTGCTCCTATTAAAAAAAATACCATTTATAATTAAATAACAACATTTTACCTTTCTGATTATATAAAAAAAAAGTTTGTTTTTATGTAATAAGTTGGAGGCACGTGCAGGCTCAGCGTAGGCGTGTGTTTTTCTTCGTTTCTTAACTCGATATAAAAACAAAACCACATTGTTAAAATTACGAAATTTTATGACGAATTTTTTTCCTATCAGTTTAATGTTTAATTAGTTCCATACTAATTAGTATTAAAAGTACCTACAAGTTTGTATACATTATACGGCGAAAACACATGTTTATATATATTAGGTTGGGGAAAAAGTCTTTTCGCATTATAGTATGTATGAACTTGTAATAAAATCTCTTTGGCTATACTATATGTATCTGGCTGGTTTTGTTATCAAGGAAAGTTGAGATTTTAAAGAAGATAATTCAAAAATCAAATTAGGATAATGTCTGTTTTTTATTTATTTTTCGTACCGTCAAGATGAGTGAATCGAATGAAGAAATTCGATACATTTTAAAATTTTACTACAAAAAAGGTCAAAATGCAACACAAGCCGCGAAAAAAATTTGCGATGTTAATATGGCCCTAGCGCAGTGTCTGTGACAGTAGCACAAATTTGGTTTAAGCGTTTTCAATCCGGAAATTTTGATGTCAAAGATCCAAGTCGCTCTGGTCGCCTATGACGGATAAAATGGATGCCATTTTTGAAAAAGTGGAGCAAGATCGGCATATCAGTAGTTACGACGTAGCTGAACGACTTTCATTTATTCCCAAGAACTAAAGATAAAATTGGAGGTATTCGCTTTACGAGCCCTGAAGATGCGGCGAAAGCGTACTAAAATGCCATAGAAGAGATCCATAAGGAAGAATGGGCCCACTGCTTTTCTCAGTGGTTCCATCGAATGCGACGATGTGAAGACAGGGACGGAGATTACTTAGAAAAACAATAAAAGTATTGTCAACTTTCTACATTAAGCCGTTTTTCATTTTCGAACATTTTCAGTGTTACCTAGGTGAGCGTACTGTTTTCCTAAATCGTCGGAGTTAAGCCCCGAGAGTATAGCCAGACGTAGGTAGGTACTCTCTTCAACGGTTACATTGCATACATTTGTTTTATAGCAATTAACATTTCATTATTTTGCATTTTAGAATATAATTCTATTGTTGTAAGCAAGTGGTTAATACAGAGTAAAAATAAAATTATCTATTATTTAAAACACCCCGATGACCCAGGAACCGTACATGTAGATTTTACTACGTCGAAACATATGATAACATTATGTAAAAGATAATTGCGTCATACTGGTTATCACTATTTATTGCGAAATAATTACCGCAATTATAAGATCGATATGAGTCCATCATACTAAATTTCAGTTAATTGCTAGTTTCACTTATTAATGTACGTTGATAAGATATGTTAATTGTGTTAAAAGTCTCCATTTAAACTAAATTAGATGCTATTGCCTTACTCTAATTATTATTGACTTATTACTGTTTGTTTTAAAGCAGAAGAAAGGATGATTTCTACAGGAGTGCCTTTAATATTATACACAACCATTTATGTATGAAAAATTAAAAAGTGCCCCGAATTACTTAGAATTACACAAAGCTGTTTAGGATGGCTGCCATTCGAGATTCTGGATTCGTTTCTAATTGATGGAACATCTTCTATATTCACTGGAGGTAGCTTATAGTGTTTTTTATTTATTTTCGCGTTAAGAGGATATTTTAGATGCCATATATTTGTAGATATTTAAGGGGCCATTTTAAAAGTGAATTTTATCTTAAGAATGATATACAAAGTGTATAAACCAGAAGAGTGACAACGTCGAAAAATAAGATAACATTTAATACAAGATAATTGGATCATACTGATTAGCACTTTTTATTGAACACCCTTAGTAAGTACTAAATTTCTAAAGGAAGATCTAAATTTATATTTACTACTAGTTCGTCGTACTTATTTCTTGTTCATAGACCAGGAGCTGCAGATGATTAAGAATAGGGTGTTAATAAAAAGATTATTTGTTATTTAAATAATGTAATCAAAATTGCTTATTAACAAAAAATCTAATAAAATTAAAAAATAACAAATTTATTCGACATCCCTGTTGTTTTTTTTTTAGAAATAATTCGTTCAATGAATTTTTAGGAATGCTAATATTATTTGGTCAGTTTCGTGAATTCCACATTGATACCGTTTGCAGCTGTCGTAAAAGTAGCTCGCCTGTCTAATTTTAATCCTGCAACGGGATACTTGTACACAAGTCGATACTCAGACAGAATTTTTGCGAGAACAACCTTTACAAATAGTAGTCCGGCCTTTGAACCTGAAATATTAGCAAAAACATTTTAAACAAACAAACAACTTTTGAACTAAAGTTATATTATTATGTGTGGTTGTTTAATATATTCAAAGTATATATAAAACTCTAAGTGAAATAAGGTCAACTAAAACTGGTCAAAATATAACTAAACCGTCAATAAGTTTCCAATAAACGTTAATCATATCTTTAATGATACACCCAACTAGTTGTAAGTAAGCCTTTGTATTTATGACTAAATAGTGCAGTAATTTATAAAAACATAACTATGACTAAAATATATAAATATGGGCGTTTCATTAAATTCTGGCTTTTCATGATGCTATGCATATAACTGTATCCAGTTCACTACGCCCTTGCTAGATAAAAGATTTTGATTGTGTGAAAAGTAGTTCTGTTTTACCAGTTTCGTGTATTGTCTATTTCGTGAAATATCAGCTAATTAATTGTTACTTAAATTTGTTCCAAAAAGCAACTAATTCAAGTAATATTTTAAGATAAAATTAATTTTCAATGGTCATAATTATGTTTTTTTTTTGCTACTTATTTGTGCTATACCCTGTCAATATCTGTCGTGTTTGTATGTTGCAAGTCAAAGTTAGGCATGAGATTTATGTTGTAATTTAATAAAGAATTGTTAGTAATATATACCTATACATGCTCTGGGTCCAACACCAAAGGGTAGGTAATTATCAGAGACCGCTCGGCCCTCACCAAATCGGTCTGGATCAAAAACATCAGGATTTTCAAAGAATTGTGGGTCCCTGTGCACACCATATAAAGAAATATATACAGGTGTCCCTTTTTCAATTACGAGATCTGTGTCTGGAAACTGGAAGTATTCACAAAATTTTAGTATTTTAGAAAGACCCGAAACCAATTATTTGGCATTGAGTATGCACGTTTCTGTGTGCTCGGTTAATAATCGTACGTATTGTTATAAGTACGATTTTAAAACTATTATTTAAAACCTGAAGATTTCTTCATGAAGTTTATATTATTAGCTCAAGATTCCAACGAAAGTAATTTTTTATTTTTTCCTAAACATAACAATCAAATATTCAGTAATTAAAATTTTCGTAACCTTCATAGTAATAAATAAAATAAGATAACAATACTTATATTATAACTAATATAATAGTTAATATAACTAGCTCAACATAATATCCTGATATATACGACATAAATAAGTAAGTAATAATTTATTTAACCGTCTACAGTCTATACTTTTTTTCTATGAGGCTGGCCCTGACACGATTTCAATCATTTCTTACATGTACAAAGATATTTTTTGCGTGTTTCATTAATCAGCTATTACAGCTAAAAGTTATTTTGTTTGAATTATTAAGGTAAATTTTAAGACACAAATCAAAATATCTATTATAACCATCGTTAATCGTTAAATTTTTTTATTGTACATTATTAAATATTATATTTAGATGCATAAAAGGAGCTGCACCCAGTGCAGTGCAAACGTTTTTCCACTATCAGCTGTAGGCCAGCACTTAAAAATTTATAATAATTACACCGTGTACGCACACTCAAGTGCCATAATTAAATGTACCTTGTAATCTTCGAGTGCGTAGCGGTCTAAAGTCGACACAGAGGGATGCATCCGTAAACCCTCAGAAACGCATTGCTCCAAAAATTTCATTGCATTTAACCCTTCGATGGTCCATCCGTGCTTAGCTACTGCTTCATCAATACATTCGCGGGCTCGTTCTTGATACTGTGGATTTTTTGCTAACTCCATGAGAGTAAACGCAGATACATTTGAACTAGTTTCAAGGCCAGAAAAGAACGTCCCTGTTTGTGAGAACAGGTGTTGGCCTTCAAATTCTAAAAGATGAAATGATAGAAATAGCTTATAAAGTAAATGATATATATACTATATAGCCTATATAAGCTGCATTAATGTAATTAGCCTTGTCGCATCGAGTCCCTATTTTGTGTATTGACACTATGTGAGTCAGTAAGTGATATTGACGACATGAAATTAAGTATAATACTCACTATAAATGGGATCTTGTTCGCCATTCTTTAATTGTATTAGTGTGTCGATAAAGTCTCCTCTTTTAACTCCGCTCTTTTCCCGAGCGTTGATTATATTCCAAAATACTTTACGCATGTATGATGAATCGTATAATATCAGGAATCCTAATATTCTTATCATTTCAGGTATGAAAAATACGGTGAAAATAGCAAACATCCTTTTAAAAGAATGAAAATAGTTTAAAACTGAAATCAACGAAATTTATTCAATTTAAAGATTAGTTGATGGTTTAAATGTCTTTTTAATATTTGTTATACTTACAGTTTTTGGTGTAATCCGATTCCGGGCCATTGAACGAGTCAGACTTAAAACCCAAAGCCACATTAGCGATCACATCTGCTGTAAACCTGTAGTTCACATCTTGGGCGTCAATTACTTCAACTTTATTTTCGTTGCTTTCGACTTTCTTTTTCAAAAACTCCATCATGGGGTTGGAGGCGTCCATCATAAACGGTAGCATCTGTTTCAGCTTACTCCGTGTGAACAGAGGAGTGATTTTCTTTCTCAAGTACCTCCAAGCAGGATTTTTCAATCCAAATAAATTTATCATTCCTGTGCTGTCCATCTGCGGGGTTCCAGCGAAGTAGCGATCGGAAAATTTCTCAAAATCCCGAATAAAAATTTGCTTTATCATTTCAGGATCTTTTAACAGCAAACATGGTTTGTGAGATAAATAAATTCCAACATACGGGGCGTTCTTCGGCGATTGTCTATATAGATCTCCGAAGTGGTATCCGGGTGGGGATCGAAATAAGAAACCATTTTTAAAATCACCAAATATTAAATGCGTTGTCTTTAACTGTGGCACACCGCGCCGTCTCCAGTAATTCAACTTAAAGCAGCAATAATAGTAAATGAGCCAGAGGAATGATAACAGCAAGAATATAGTACCTAAGCTTGGATAATAAAATGCAGCTCCCATTCTGAAATTTATATACCAGGTTATTGCGATGAAGATATAATAATAATGAGACGAATGATGACGTGTTTTAAATTTATATTTTGTATAAAATTTAATTGAAACACTTACTTCTATAGCTGTTGGATGAAAACTGCAAAATATCTTCATTTATGGCATATAATTAACGATTACCATATGATGATTGGCAACCTATAATATGTTTTTATTTAAATACATTAAATTGCTACCATTAAAAAGAAGAAGTAATGGTACCTAAAAAATAAAATAAGTATTTATTTTCTGTTTGTTTTCAGTTTTTGAAAGCATTATTAAATGTTTAAATAGATTTCGCTGTGCTCTTTCTAAAATGAAACTGAGGTTAAAATCATACACTTGTACACACACTCGTCATTTTAAAAAAATAGCGTGTAATAAGTTTTTGTCAAAATTAGACGTTTCCTATATATAATATTATAAACTCAAACTCAAAATATCTTTATTCAAGTGGGTAACCAAGTACACTTTTGAATCGTCAAGTTAAATTAATCGTAAATTTACATTTACTACCAGTTCGCAAGTCAAGGGCGTAGAGCGGGTAAGAAGAACTGGCAAGAAACTTTCCGCCACTCTTTTTAATCGCCAAGTATTGTCATACAAATTGTTTGATTATATTGTTGAAATTGTATTATTATATTCTAGATAAAGACAATTTTTTTTAAACAATACATTTTTAACATGCGATTAGACAAAAACCTCATTACCAGCCTTGAGGTAAACAAATTGTTTAAGTTTTGTAACGTAAATCCATACAATATATAAAATAAACATGATGTCTATAACAGCTGTTATTATGAAGAAGCAAGGATATGGGGTATGTTAGAAATGGATATTAATAGGAATCCTATATACCACTATAATGGGACATTTGGCAGATTCCCTTCTCATCTCTGCATCATTTTTTTATTGAAAAGTAGGTGATGAGGCTTTTGTGGCTGTTTAAAATCGAAAACAACTCATAAGAAATGTATTATGAATTAAAAAAAACCTCTACTGAACATAAAAGTATACTCTGAACCTACCTTTAAAAACGATTATCTATATGTTTATAAAATAGAGTTTCTTCCCCTAATACGCCGTAATTTTTAGTGATATCATAAATTATGCTCATTTGCAAAACAATTATAAAGCAGTAGGTGGTTTACTGATAGCCAATTGTTCGAAGTTAATGATTAGGTGCGCAAATATAGCGCAATAGTTATTGTTAATTAAAATAACTATACAAAGATTCACTCCACCATCGTTCGTTTTACATTCGAGGGGAGAGCTCTATCCTTACCCTGGAAAATATTTATAATAATTTTGAATTGGTAACATATTTTACAAACCCATTATGGGTATGTAAAATATGATATGTTTTTATTTGAAGCGGCAAGGACAAAAAAGTAGACCGAGGAGCCAGTGGAAGGTGCCGTATAAATATGGAAACACCACTCACCGTTACTCCTCCGTCTCTTCACTTGTCTCCGTGGTAAAATTGAAAGGGTAAGCACAAACCTAAAAGCAATCAAAAGCTTGACATCGCGTCGGCGGTCGCAAGTTTTATTTAGCTACGCGGGAGCATATTATGTAGAATGGTCCCCTCCACCTTCACTTCAGTATCGCAAGAGAGACTGAGTGCTATTTAGGGAAAGGGTGCGGTAGGGACGGAAAATGTAGATATACGACTATTGGTTCTTGGATGGCCTAGTGCCCCCGGCCTATAAAAGCTTTAGGGTTTGTATAACGAGAGAAAGAAATAATAGCTAAATGCAAGTTTGTTAAGCGATTGATTAAATGGTTGACCTGTATAATTAATTTGTTTAGCGGCTTAAGATGATGAAAAAAAAAATGAAATGTCTCTTTTACATGATTTTTAAATCCTCGTAGGATTAAATTTCCACGGAATACGATTTCTAGTAAGTCCAGTTGCAAATGATTTATGAAGTCATTTGATTTTGTTAGTGTATAACGTCTGACAATGCATTTTTAGCTGCAGCAATTTATTGTTTTCCGAATAATGAAGCTAAATTGCGATAGGTACGTAATAAATCGTTTAAATGAAGAAAGATCTAGTACTAAGATCTGTATTATCTGCACACCTCGTATTACCATACAAACTCATTTTTTTCTCATACATAATTAGTTTAAACAACAAAGAAAAATAAATAATAAACACATGGTAATTTTACTTAGAAATATACATCGTCACAAACTAAACAAAAATACATATACAACTTTATATTAGAGGTACACAGATTGAACATTTATTTTATTTATTTATTAAAACCTTAATTTCTACCATTTACCAACATAAAACTAATTCGATCGGAAAGAAGAAAAAAAAAAAGAAAATATTAACCTAAACCGTTTAAAGTATTTTGTATTCAGTCAGCCAATGTTATTATGAATATAGTTAAGAAGATATAAATTTCACATGGTTTACCTTGAAATGTCAAACAATAGGAAAATGACCTCGTTTTTTTCGAATTTTAAGCAACGTTTATGAATAAAAAATACTTTGACTTTAAATTCACCTTATTATTGTATTCTGTTTTTCTTTGTTTTATTTATATACATTTTTATTTATTGTTGGAAAATAGAAAATGGATTTCTTATTGACGGAGGTACTGAACCAATGAGTACGAGCTATTGAGTATATTTCGACATTTCAATAAGGGCATACAAATTTTATTGAATTTTTTCTGCGAATAATATTGCGATCTAATTTAAATGCCGTCTAATCTACTGTTTTCTATTGTTAGGGCTTGACACCCGAAAACTATTATTTTCTGGTTTCTTCCAAGTGGAGTTCGCATAGCCCTCATTCAATGAGAACTTATTAATGCGAAACTAAGCAATTAATTATCAAAGTATCTGCCCTACTTTAATTTCTCGTACGTATGCAAAGTGCTAAAACACATTTGACGTGTGTCTATTAAGATAATCCATGAAACAAACGCAGAAATGTCTCTGCTTCTTCATAAAATGAAGTTCCGTAACGGTGAAGGGGGCAGAGACGGTTATCACCATTTAATTTAAAATATTATATAATGCATGTAAGCTAAAGTCTAATCTGCATTTTTTAACACAGCACTGAACAAACAAATTAACTCCTTATAAATTTAGGTTGATTAACTGCAAGTTCTCAAATTAAGGTCGAACGGACCAGAATAATAAACAATCTGCCACTATGCTCAACAATAAAGTCAAACTAAAACAAGACGTGTTATTGTATTTTAACAAATTCTAAATTAATTCCTTTAGCCGCGGTGGTAAATGTTGCTCTTCTGTCTAGCTGCAAATCCTCAGTTTGTTTATGATTCAATTTATACTTGAGTAGAATCATAGACAAGACAACTTTCATGTAGAGTTGACCAGCTTTTACACCTAAAAAGAAAATTATGGTTTTTAATGTGAATTTTTCGAGTGTGCTGAGATCCAGAGGGAAATGAAATTAGGTGTGTAAATGTGACCATCGCTAAGGTTAGCCGAACGACAGGGTAAAATTAAGAAAGCTAACACCAACACAACCTTTAGCAACAAACGTCATGGAACAAGCTTAGTATTCATTATATCTCACCTATACACTGTCTTGGCCCAGAACCGAAGGCTAGGTAATTGTCTGAAACCTTCTTATCTTCAGTGAAACGGTCGGGATCAAATTCCTCTGGACGATCAAAGAATTTAGGGTCACGGTGTGTCCCAAAAAGTGAAATGTATACAGCAGTACCAGCTTCAATAACTATATCTGTGTTTGGTATCTAAAAAATTAGGCAAACTTAGATAAGTTGACGTAAAATTATTCATTGAAAAAGATGACAACAATAAAACACTATTTTGACCGGATTGAAGTTATGTATTATTATAAATTTACAACTATTTAACATAATTTTAAATTTATCCGACGTTTCGCGTGCTTTACAGCGTGCGTGGTCACGGTGACTGAAGACAAAAGAATGTCAAAAAGTATCACAGCTGCAGAGAAAGTTGCATTATCTTTATTTATTTCCCCGGAGTTGGTATCGACTAAAAGATGGAGGGTTTTGGCAAAAATGGCTTACGGTGTCCTCTATTTTCGCGGATTGTGTTTCTTTTTGAGATTTTAATTTGGATATTATTGGATCCCAGGTGTTTGACAATTTTAGGCCGTCTTCTCTATTGAAATTGAGGTGTTTTTTGATTTCAATGGCTTCGCGTACTAATCTTGGGAAGAATCTTTTCTCTTTCGCAAGTACTTTCGGTTGGTCAAAGCGTTTTTTTTTTTTTTTTTTATAGAACGGGGGGCAAACGGGCAGGAGGCTCACACGATGTTAAGTGATACCGCCGCCCATGGACACTCTCAATGCCAGAGGGCTCGCGAGTGCGTTGCCGGCCTTTTAAGAATTGGTACGCTCTTTTCTTGAAGGACCCTAAGTCGAATTGGTTCGGGAATACTTCAGTGGGCAGCTGGTTCCACATAGTGGTGGTGCGCGGCAAAAACTGCCTTGAAAAACGCTCAGTTGTGGAACGTCGGACGTCGAGGTGATACGGGTGGAATTTCGTATTCTGCCTCGACGTCCGATGATGAAACTCAGCTGCAGGTATTAATCCGAACAACTCCTCTGAACACTCTCCATGGTAAATGCGGTAGAAGATGCAGAGTGACCCCACATCTCTACGTAACGCCAAAGGATCAAGCCGCTCGGAGAGGGATTGGTCGTCGACGATTCGAACCGCTCTGCGTTGTATACGGTCAAGTGGAAGGAGCTGGTACTGGGGAGCCCCCGCCCAGAGGTGAGATCAGTACTCCATGTGGGGCCGAATTTGCGCTTTATATAGTTGCATGCGGTGGCCCGGAGTGAAGTACCGTCTCGCCTTGCTGAGCACACCAAGCTTTTTGGAGGCTAATTTAGCCTTTCCCTCCAAGTGACCGCGAAACTGAACGTCGCTCGATATGTCAACGCCAAGTATTCCAATGCTGGCTGTGGCTTTAAGAAGAGTGTTTTCGAAAAGAGGAGTAGCGACAAAGGGTGTTTTTTTAGCGGAAAACGCGCAAACTTGTGTCTTTGGGGTTAAATTGGACTAGGTTTTGTCTGCTCCAATCTGAGACTCCACGTAGTAGAGTTTCGACTTCAGACACAAGTTTGTTCCGGTACTCATCAACAATTGCCCGAGAAATACCTGCCCGGCCAGTGTAAAAAGTATCCCCAGTGCTGTCATCCGCATAGCAATGAATGTTGCTAAGTTTCAACATATCATTGATATGCAGAAGAAACAGGGTCGGGGATAGAACACAGCCTTGTGGGACCCCAGCGTTTACGGGTTTTAGGTCGGAACATGCTCCGTCGATGACGACCTTGATGCTCCGATCGGCCAGAAAGCTGGAGATCCAATCGCGTAATTTCTCGGGAAGCCCATAGGCTGGAAGCTTCGAGAGCAGTGCTCTGTGCCACACCCGATCGAAGGCTTTCGCTATGTCCAAACTAACCGCTAGCGCCTCCCCCTTGGACTCAATTGCCTCTGCCCATCTATGTGTAAGGTATACAAGAAGGTCACCAGCCGAACGACCACGACGAAAGCCGTACTGATAATCGCTAATCAGCTGGTGGCCCTCTAGATACCTCAAGAGCTGGCAATTAACAATGGATTCCATTATTTTGGAGAACAAGGAGGTTATAGCTATTGGGCGATAGTTGGACGGATCAGAGCGATCGCCTTTTTTAGGGATCGGATGTATCAAAGCGGTCTTCCAGCACTTCGGGACAGTGCTGAGCGAGGGCTGTTGTTAAAGATTTGACGTCTAATGACAGTGTTTCAGAATATTTAGTAAGGAGGCTAGATGTTTGTTTTATTACCTTGTGCATTTCTAGCACATTTAAATTCAATACACAAGAACATTAAATTTACTGTTGAACAAGAAAACAACAACCGTCTGCCCTTTTTAGACATTTTAATTATACGCAAAGCAGATGGCACACTAGGTCACACAATACACAGGAAGGCAACCCACACAGATAGGTACCTCAATGGTGAATCCCACCACCACCCTTCACAACTGCTTTCTGTCGGTAAATGTTTGTTTCAGAGAGCCCAACGTCTTTGTGATGATGCCCACCTCGAGGAGGAACTACAGCATGTCAAACAGGTGCTACACCGAAACAAGCTGCGCATCCCCCGGGCTGCATCACAAAAACAAAAACAAGACACAAACAGTTCCCCGCCAGCCAGCCTACTTGCCATATGTAAAGGGAGTTACAGATAGAATTAGCCGGATCCTAAAACGAGCTTCTATTCATACAATTTTCAAGCCGCACAAGAAGATTCAGCAATTCCTAAGACCAATCAAAAGTAACACCCCATTGCAAGATGCAGGTATATACAAACTGGATTGCGACTGTGGCCTGTCTTACATAGGGCAAACTAAACGCAATATGTCCAGCAGACTCAAAGAACACATTGCAGACATAAGACATAGACGACACACAAAATCAGCAGTCTGTGAACACATACTAGATAGGCCTAATCACTACATACGCTTTGACCAACCGAAAGTACTTGCGAAAGAGAAAAGATTCTTCCCAAGATTGGTACGCGAAGCCATTGAAATCAAAAAACACCCCAATTTCAATAGAGAAGACGGCCTAAAATTGTCAAACACCTGGGATCCAATAATATCCAAATTAAAATCTCAAAAAGAAACACAATCCGCGAAAATAGAGGACACCGTAAGCCATTTTTGCCAAAACCCTCCATCTTTTAGTCGATACCAACTCCGGGGAAATAAATACAGATAATGCAACTTTCTCTGCAGCTGTGATACTTTTTGACATTCAACATCTTTTGTCTTCAGTCACCGTGACCACGCACGCTGTAAAGCACGCGAAACGTCGGATAAATTTAAAATTATGTTAAATAGTTGTAAATTTATAATAATACATAACTTCAATCCGGTCAAAATACTGTTTTATTAAATGAATAAAAGTTATGTTAATCAAAGACAATACTAAGATGACAACAAGTAATAAAAGACAATAACAATGAAAACCAGTTTTTAATTTTCTTTTTTAATTTAAATTTATCATTTATATTTTATTTACTTTCAACCTTATAAAAATAAAATATTTAAACACACACGAAATTTAATTACAAATATATTACATTTCATCAAGTTTATTCTTTGGTTGGGTCTTTAGTATAGGGTTGGAACACCAACTTAGGTATAGGCCTCCATTAACTTATACCATTCGTCTCTGTTTTTCGAGACTTCCGTCCATTGCCTGTTCGCGACAGTAATGATATCATCAGACCAGCGTCTGTTACCGCTTGGGCCGGTACATTTCGTCACTTTATATAGTGCTTAGTGTCATACCCAAGACATTTTAGGTTTTGTTTTTAGATTTATAAATATAATACAAAAACTACACAGGTACCGAATTGTTTGTGAGAGTTTAAAGGTATGGATACAAGCAGAGCGACAATGTCAGCAAATCAATAATGTTATAAAGATATAGTTTTAAGTGAACGCGAGGGAGTTTTACAATCTCATTCAGAATCGTCTATTAAATTATAAGTGCATTATTTAAATGTTGCCTTGGCCTACTATTGACCAAGTATTCTCCAAGAACTCGATTTCTTTATACATTTGAGATATGTGCGATGGCGAAGACCAAGGTTGTTTGCGATACCAAGGGCTAGAACTAGTCTCTTGCACAGATCCCCGTTAACAAAGACGTTGCGCTTACTGAAAGTTGTCTTCGACTCTTTTGACTGATTAGTGCAAAAAATAAATGGTTTTTTTGACATACGAGGTTATCATTCTACAGTGACGAAAAAATACCTTGTAATCATGCAAAGCTTCGCGGTCTAATGTGGAAACGGATGGATGCAGCCTGAGTCCTTCAGCTATGACCTGATCCAAGTATTTCATATTGTTAAAAGCCTCCACAGTCCATCCGTGTTGGGCAATTGCTGTTTTAATACATTCTCTAGCTCTGTCCTGGTATTCACTATTTTTGGCTAATTCCATTAGAGTGAACGCTGTTACATTTGAACTCGTCTCGAGTCCAGCCAAGTATGTGCCGGTTTGTGAAAAAAGATTGTGTTCATTGAATTCTGTAATTATTTATATTAATATGAATATTGCGTAGTTTGTATACGTATTTATATAGTACATTTTAAGCAATCACATTAAATAATCAAACATTTATAAACGGATCGCCCTTGTATTTTTAATTAATGGCCGTGGAGTTTAAGTGCACAGGCGCTAATTAAAGATTTTAGTTGGCACCTGGTAGATAGCACCGGTGACCCCAGAGCTGGTGCTTTCCTCAACGAATAAGTATCGCAATACAGTGAGGAAATGCTGCCAGCGTTAAAGGTACACTGCCATCCGGATCAAACTTTTTAAATTTGTTTTAATTTTCTATTTACTAATTTTAGTTTTTATTATTACCACGTAGGTAAAGAATATGGTAAATACTGTATGTATACTTGTGTGTTGGAAATAAATTTATTGTTCTAGCATCTGGTTGGTACTTTGGAAGGGTACGAGTTGTTTATGAAACAGGTATTTATTTTAACAACAATTTTGTTTTAATTTACAATAATAAATTATATAAAATGACAACAATTTACCAATTTGTACTTATATTTACAATATACGCCGGAAACAATGTTCTTTTAGATAAGAATGTACGTACGTGTATATGAATTTAACAAAAAGAAAATATACCATAAAGTGGATCCTGTTCCTCATTCTTTAGTTGTATGAGTGTATCTAGGAAGTCTCCTCTTTTGATTCCACTTTTTTCCCTTAATCTTACTGCGCTCCAGAATAATTTACGTAAGTAAGTGGAATCAAAAAGTATTGACGATCCAACCACTTTAACGAGCTCTGGTATAAAAAATACAGTGACGATAGCAATCATTCGTCTAAATGAGTGGAAATACTTCTTAACTGAAAAAATTTAATAGATTAAAAATATAAATTATTAGTATTTAATCGTTTGATAAAATAATTAGTGTGAGTATAAAAAGAGAAGCTATTAAGCTACATTCATATCATTCATATTTTCATTGATAAGCAAGCAATTAATCGCCAAGCTAAATTGGCTTTTTTCATTCTTTTTTTGGGTTCAGCGCAGTCAGTATTAAATACTTAATTAAACCTTACAAATGACTAACGTCATGATTACGTGTTAAGGATACTGTCGGCCTCTTTGTAAGGCTGATTGTATAAATGTGTATGCCCTATACATTTTAAAAGTAAACTCCTGCGATTTGATACAAAGCAATATGATTATTATAAGTTACGAACATTTGCGTGGTAGCAGCTATATTTTACTTTCGGTACTTACAATATCTAAGGTAATCCGAATTCTTGTCATTGAACGAATCAGTTCTCGAGCCTAAAGAAACATTCGCGAACAAATCAGCCGTGTATTTGTAGCACGTATCTTGAACGTCTATTACTTTCACTTCGCCGTCCTCATCAACGTTCTTACAGAGGAATTCCATCATCGGATCTCCAGACTCGGTCATAAACGTGAGCAGTTGCTTAAGCTTGCACAAAGTGAACGTTGGAGTTATCTTCTTTCTTAGGGACCTCCACGCGGGATTCCTTAATCCAAACAAATTGATCATGCCGGAACTGTCCTTCTGCTCAGATCCGGAGAAGGAACGATCGGAAAAGTTTTCGAAATCGCGAGATAGTATCTGTTTTATTACTTCTGAGTCTTTTAGAAGGAGACAGGGTTTATGAAAGATATAGAATCCCACGAAAGGCGCGTCTCGTGGAGATTGTCTGTATAAATTTCCCATGTGGTATCCGGGTGGTGATTGGAACAAGATTCCCTTTTTGAAATCGCCAAATAATAAATTTGTATTCTTTAATTGCTGCACTCCTCGTCTCCTCCAGTAATTGAGTTTGTAGCTGCAGTAGAAATAAAATGCTACGAATACAAGTAAAGCGTAGAATACGATATTATATGTATCGAGAATCATTGTTTGTCCTGCAATAATTATGAATAATTTATTAAAGAGAAAAAATAATAAAAATTGGATTTTACCTGTAAAAGGGTAAAGTTGTTTGGGGTAGATTTATCCAATAAATAGCCAGTAAATTTAACCAGAATTAAAAGATAAAGATGTCGTGTGACGTATCGTGTAATGTTTGCAGCTCCTTACAAAAATAGACATAGCCATAACATTTATATCTAACAAAAAAAAAATTATAAAACTTGGCGATTAATAATTCTGCACCTCTGATTTAACAGCTCGCCGTAAATGTTAGAAGTATTTAATTATTTTATTGACGTTCAAAAGTTTTACTAAAATGAATTAATTATATCTTGAGTTAGCTTTCTTAGTCAGTTTTGATTTGCTAATTTCCGCAATCAGTAGAAACTGCATCACGGATTTTAGTTATTCATAGAGTGTGGGCGAAAGAAATGAATTAATAGAAGAGATTTTTTGTACAACTTTTCCATATAATTTCTAAAGTACGCAGCTATTAATGATTTTTACCTACATGCAACATCACTTGTTTAAATATCTAAATAAAAAAACGATTTTGTTTCGAATTGCGCTTAGATACAACTAATGAGAACAAAAACAAGCTTTAATAACTTCTAGAACAGTAATTATCATAGTTTGTTTATCGCTAGGATAAGGACTACCTAATAGTATTTTATTTTATTATAAAATATCATCTTACGAATCAACATACGAGGGGTTTTTCTATAATTAGTGATAATGCGATACATTCTCATCGGAAAGAAAAAATCAACTGTGGCCTAGGCTATGCCTGCCACAGTATATTTTTTATATATTTAAATTTAAAACATTCGGGTTTTTTATAAATAAATTGTCTCTGTATAAAGACACAATTTAACATTACGATCTATCTAGCCTAACTTAAGACTAATAAGTCATTTTAAACTAACCTAGTATACTAAAAAGGATTTTTAACATAAGAAAGCGTCCAATAACGCTACTTACAGTCTCTATTAAGGGGAATCTATGTACAATATAAAAACAATAAAGTAGACAAAATGAACCAGTGCGTATTTCTGGGTATTACACTGGATACATTTTGTAATTGGAAAGCACATATTGAAAAATTACCGAACTTCAGCTTCGTTTATGTGTTAAAACGACTAAGGAAAACTGTTAACCATGATACGGCTGCTTATCATGCATACGTTTCATCTATACTTAGACATGGAATTACAGTTTGGGGAAATTCTTTCGAAGTAAATTCCAAATAGGGAATTAGAAAAATGTATTAGAGCAATTTGTGGAGCAAACTATTTTGTTTAAGAAGCTCAACATTTTATCTGTATGAACATTTTAGAAATGTCCGTATTCGTTCTCAAAATCAAAAATAATATATCGACGTAGGAAAGCATATTTGCTGTAAGTAGACATATTGCAATTGTTCACCAGAGCCAAAAAACTTAATTAATTTCGGAAAAAAATTAATAGTGTCGAACCTATCCATGATATTGTTACCATTTTTGAAACATATATTTATTTAACTGCCAGTCACCATTTGCAATGTAAACTTTTTATCCAAAGTTAAAGTACGTGTTTGGCTAGTTACAGCATACAGTTTTTTAAATCACAAACCTTTAAAACGCTGTAACTAAGGAAGAAAAATGTACGCGCGGAAATATTATCAATTTACAGGCGGTAAATATGCTGTATGCAGTAAATTTATGTATTTGGGTACTTTCAATTGCAATTCAAGATGTAAGATGAGTTTATAATTATGATTAGATCTAGAAATGCAGTGGGTCATTTGGTAATGTAATGTTTGGTTGTAATAACATGTTGTAAATGGTAAAAAAAAACTAAAACTGTAGGTTCGCTAAGCTTGCTGTAAGTAAACGAATGTAAAAATCACACGCCGCAGAAATGCTGTAAGTAGCGTTAAGTTTTTAAATGGGAAGAAGTAAGTATTTGTAAAGTAAAAAATGCAGATTTTCTTTTGCTGTAAGTACAAATTGTCTAAAATGACTGGATTTTGGTCTACATACAGCATTTAATCTTACTAAAAAAAATATAAGTACGGGCGTTTTCAACCGCGTATGTAATTTTTTTTCATCGTAGAGACACAGGACCAGGACATTCGATGCGGTTTTTTTTTCTGATTCTAATGGCAGTAAAAAGTCACTTTAGGTATTTTGTCTACTTACAGCAAATATGCTTTCCTACGTCGATATGTATATTGTTTTAATTTAAAACTCTTTTTAGACAATTTTGCACACCACAACGGTATCAAGAACTTGAATAGCCTCAGACATTAGGTATAAATTATAATAATAAAAAAAGCAATCAATTATGTTTTTGTTTTTTTTAAACAAAAAAAAGGTCGTTTGCGTCGTTTTGGAACGTTTATTTAAAATTTTATAAAAATTAAGTTCATAAAATATATCTGCTTGAACAAGCTGGTAAATCAAGAATTTAGAGCAACAGATCTACGGATGCCAATTGTCGTGCTGAGTTCAAGCGAGTAAGACCTTCCATAAACGACGACCCCTACACGAGACGCCGTACGTCGCTAGTGACTGAACAAATGTTTTATAACGAAAGAAATGAAGATTTCGATTGTAAGTGTTCAATATTATACACAACCATTTGTGTATTTAAAAATATGGCAGCGCGCTGGGTGCCTAAAATGCTTTCTGACTCACAAAAACACACGAGAATGTGAATTTCGCAAAGCTTTTGCTGTTGTTTGTTACAATAAGATCTTGATCGATTTTTAGCTCGATTCATTCACGAAAAATTAGTCCAAGACTTGGAAATGACTTTGAGATGACGCTCCAAAGAAATTTAAGGCGATTCCAACGGTATAATCATGGGCTGTTTTTTTCTGGGACAGCCAAGGGGCGGTAATACCTTAATCTTGGGGGCACTTTCACGGGGACCTTGTACGCAGGACAAGAAACTATTGCGTAAGGAAACAAGATAACGGCCCCGCGCATAAATCCAGAGTTACGCTAGCTGCCATTCTCCTGAATTGGCTTCGAAATTATGGAACACCCTTCATTTTCACTGAACCTAGCTGCTTGTGATTTTGTAACGGTTAAAGGAACATCATGTCGACGCATTAGTCGCCGCGGTACACGATTTTATAAGGACCATGTAGAACATTTATTTAAAAGAGAAATTTAGCTTTAGAAAAAGGATATTAAACTATATCGCTGAATGCTGGATTATTATGGTAATTGTGGAAATAAAAAATATTTTTCAGGTCTTACCTGTTAGAAATATCACGACGACCGCAAGCAAAAGTAAATGTTTCACTTCAAACAGCATCTTATGAATGCGTCTGTTGAAATTTTTCCAACATTTAAACTAACGCCGCCACCTCAAACATTAATTTAAACCTTGAATAATTAATGTTAAAACGCAAAATAACGTTCGGACACGTAATTTTTTTACATACCCGTTTAGACAAGTATGTAAAAAAAGTCCGGCAAACGCCCGTTGCCTACTGTTTTTGATAATTTAATTACATAGTATTACTACATGATAGATATAAAAATATGCACTTTGTACTGTTTGCGCAAATGTTTCTCGGACATTCATCGACCAAAATCACTTGTCTGAAATCAAGACATCACTATGTAGTGTCTCGGATAAGGATCGGCAAACGGCGATTTTTGACAAGTATACGAGTTTTTGGAGTTTTGGGACTAAATCTTCCAATCCAATTACCACCATTTCATGACCAAATGCCGCTAATTCGATCCGGACAAGTGTCACCGTTTGAACGGGTTCAAATTTTTTTTCAAGTCTTCACTACGGTAACAGAAATTAATTATTGGTATTGACGAAACCTTGAATGCTTGAAGAAACAAAATTATTCTTTTGGAGTTTACTTCTTAAGAAACGATTTGAGTTATAAGGCCCGGTACGGAAATTTTATGAGGAGTAAAATCAAGTGTAACACGAAAAGTTGAGGCGTTATGTGTAACACGAAAAGTTGAGGCGTTGTGTGTAACACGAAAAGTTGAGGCGTTATGCAGAAAGAGACAAACATATATATATCTGTAGGATTGAACGTGTAAAAGAATGAGATGGAATACATTACACAGACTTTTCTATTTTGAATTCACGTTTTGACAGCCACGTTACAACATTGTCAGTGTTGACAGGTGTAAAAAATAAAAGTAGATTGTCTAGCGTGCCATAGAATTTTGTCAATAGTAATGGTCAGTGAAATTAAAACTAAAAAGATTGTTCATTCTTATTCTTCTCTTACTATAAAGGTAACTTTGGTCACAGAAAGAAAATCCTATTTGGGCATAGATGATGTAGGTACGTTTTATTACTACTACAAACATTTATATTATAAAAACATATATTCTTACCTCCTTTAGTATGAAAATATGGTCGACAGCCACAGAACATTATCGCCATCTTTGTTTATTATTTTTAATTAATTGATTAAATATATTTTATATTTATATAATATTTTATAATACTTATATTAAATTATTATGACCCATTTCTATTTTTTTCTATTTGATATATATAATAATTATCGTTCGTAAGGAGTAAACTCCAATCGTGCGTCGTAGCTGACACACACACACTTTTTTTTATTTCAGAACTAATTTCGATGCATTCTTGATCATGCCATGTCCCCTGCAGAAACAGAACGCGATTATCGCGTGAACATTATCACGAATGTGAGTGCTTGAATTTTATATTTTTTTGTAAAATATATCTATTTTTATAAGTAGGTATACTAAAATATATATATGTTATAATTTCAGAGTACCAAAAGGTTGAAAAAACAAAGACGAATAATATCACATTTGTATCAATCACTAAGTGCAGACATTTTCAAATTACTTATTTCAACTATCCTTCAATTGATATATAATAAATGATTTGTTATCAAAGCACAATTTGGGTTTCTATCTATATATCGACGTAGGAAAGCATATTTGCTGTAAGTAGAAAAAATACCTAAAGTGACTTTTTACTGCCATTAGAATCAGAAAAAAAAACCGCATCGAATGTCCCGGGTCCTGTGTCTCTACGATGAAAAAAAAATTACATACGCGGTGGAAAACGCCCGTACTTATTTTTTTTTTAATAAGATTAAATGCTGTATGTAGACCAAAATCCAGTCATTTTAGATAATTTGTACTTACAGCAAAAGAAAATCTGCATTTTTTACTTTACAAATACTTACTTCTTCCCATTTAAAAACTTAACGCTACTTACAGCATTTTTGCGGCGTGTGATTTTTCATTCGTTTACTTACAGCAAGCTTAGGGAACCTACAGTTTTAGTTTTTTTTTACCATTTACGACATGTTATTACAACCAAACATTACATTACCAAATGACCCACTGCATTTCTAGATCTAATCATAATTATAAACTAATCTTACATCTTGAATTGCAATTGAAAGTACCCAAATACATAAATTTACTGCATACAGCATATTTACCGGCTGTAAATTGATAATATTTCCGCGCGTACATTTTTCTTTCTTAGTTACAGCTTTTTAAAGGTTTGTGATTTAAAAAACTGTATGCTGTAACTAGCCAAACACGTACTTATAGTAACTTTGAATAAAAAGTTTACATTGCAAATGGTGACTGGCAGTTAAATAAATATATGTTTCAAAAATGGTAGCAATATCTTGGATAGGTTCGACACTATTAATTTTTTTCCGAAATTAATTAAGTTTTTTGGCTCTGGTGAACAATTGCAATATGTCTACTTACAGCAAATATGCTTTCCTACGTCGATATATACAAATGTTATGTAGGTTTGTGTACGCTTCAAAAACTCATAAAGTTCTGCACCGATCGAGCTGAAATTTTAGCATGATATATAATACGCATCAAGGATTGTTTTTATCTAGTTTTTTTATCATATTTTATCTTTTTTATTGTTTCATTATTTTTCCACAAGTATTGCAAAATTAAAGTTATATGAAATGTATTCTTTGTTTTGTTTCTCGTTTCTCAACCATTCAATCAAAATGTGCCACAGCGAAGCGTGGCAGGGTACAGATAGTATTTATATATATATATATATATATTTGATACGCACTTCGTACTACGAATTAGATCAGGTACTTATAAAATAAATAGTAGATTAATTTCCAATTAATTTTATTAATGTAACAATGTTATTAGATACAAAAATAAAAATGGTAATTAATTTTTTAATATAAAAGTCAGTAGCTGTAACGACCGAACTAAATTTAGACGTCAAATTATGGTCAGTTTTAGAGGACATGGCCTCCTCTAAACGACCCGGCGACATTGTCGACATTGTGAGTCTGTTAAAAAATCTTTGGAGCAAGTAGTGGCGAAATTTCCCTTGGAAACAGTGCGTAAGTCCATAGATTCGTGGCCAAACAGATTAAAGGCCTGTATGTAAAAGCCATTTCTAATAGAATATTTTTATAAATAATATTACATTACTTCGTTTGTAACAGAACTTATGGCTGTACTAGGTGTACACTTTGAAATTATATTAGATATGGTATAGGTGTATAATATGTTTAATGTGGTTATTTCCCTTCAATAATCAATTTACCTACTTTTGATCAAATAAAATAGTACTAAATATTATGTTTCCAACAACTTATGGAGCTGCTTCTGAGTTAAAGGCTTCAGTAGAATAACGTAATGTTAAGATCAAAGTCTATCAGAATGGTGTTCTGATTGGTTTGTTCGGCGGAGAGAATGATATCATCCAATCCAGTTCTAAATAAAAGAGCGTATTTCTGACTTAGAAAATGTCATCACGATAAAAGTACGTGCACGTGTAATGTTCCAAAGGAACAAATGTCATTTATGGACTTGTAAACGGATCCATTGGAAAAATAGAGAAGGGACATTGGGACGTCAACAACAGCAATAGCAAAATTACAACACTATTCAGGCATAATTTGATGGATTCCAACTATATTAAACTTAACTCTCATTTCATAAAATAAAAATAAAATAAAATATGTTTATTATGGAACATAAGATACATGTATCAATTATTTCACGTCATTAAATTTGAATTTGTAGGCATCCCTACTCATCGGCAAAGAAGACAGAGGGTGTAGGCCGAGAGAAAAAGCCGGCGTAAAAATTCTCGGTACTCTTATATTCAATATTAGGCATATCAATAGCTATATCATCGGACTATATTATACTATTTGATATTCCTCACTGTAATCTTAAGTATTAAGACTTACACCTATTGAAAACATACGCCAAGCTTAAACGACAATTTATCGAAAACTAAATGACAAAAATAATTCTTCCTTCCACCACTAATAGATGGCGCACAATTAAATCGTAAATTATTCGCTGTGCGCTGGTCCGCGGCTTCTGGACTATTTATGTCGTCGTTAAGCTGCCTTAGATTTACATCTTTCTTGCTTTACTTACCTAACTTACCTGCTACAATAACATGAATTATAGGATTATGTAGGTACGCGGTGGGTAGTTCTTTTTACGCGTTGCAGACCAAGAGCTAAGCTACGTTAGTTTAGCTTAGCTCGCATAGTTGACCCAATTTTCCATACGTCTGTGCAGACCGCAAACTATGCGAACTAAGCTATGAGAGCTAACTAAAATATGCGAAGCTAAGTTAGTTGTGTATGCCGATGCGCAGCTACACGAGCTAAGCTAAGCCCCTCCCGCTACCCCGCACACCCTTTGCACATAGTATGCAACACTGACTGAGCTTTGGGTTAGCTGTTAGTGTGCACGCTATTTATTTCTAGCTTAGCCTAGCCTAGCTTGCTTGGCATAGCTTAGTTTAGCCTTGGCATAGCTTAGTTTTCGGTCTGCAACCGGCTTTTAACGCCTTGGGTCAAGTTTTTATACTTATACGGTCTTACTAATAAAGATTTATGCACATCGTATAAGCCTATTATAAGAAAAATGTTACTAATAATTCCTGAATTGACAAGTTTGATGTATACGGCTGTTATAACAAGTGTCTGGTTTGTATGAAGACTTGTACAATGCTTATACAACGCAGAGGCCTAGTTTAACGGGTGTATAAGACAAAAATTGCGTCATTTGATCTGATTTCGCGTTTGATAGCATTTTTTGACTGTTTAGTTCAAGGAAAGATTTAAGTTAGTTGGTATTTGCGTTTGTTGAAAATGAATAAAATAATAAGTTGAAGATTTAGATAATATTGATATGCAGCTAATACATACGATTGAAGATTTGCCGCCTCCAAGGAAAGTCAAAACATAAGTACCAAACTCGGTGCAATCCGTTATTACTTTCGGATGGCGATTTCAAAACAAAATACCGCTTTTCAAAGATGTA